TAAGAAAGCCCCAAAATGTATGAAGCAAAAGTTGACAGAATTGAAGAGAAAAATAGACAGTTCAACAGTAATATTTGGCAGCTTCATCCCATTTTCAGTAATGGATAGACAAAAGATATACAAGGAAATAGTTTTGAACAACATTATAAACCAACTAAACCTAACAGACATCTACTTAACACTACCCAAAGCAGTAAAATACAGTCTTCTCATGTGTATGTGGAACATTCTCCAAAATATACCATGTATTAAGACATAAACAATTCTCAGTAAATTTAAAAAAATTAAAATCATGCAAACTACTCTGACCACAGTAGAATGAAAATAGAAATCAATAATAGAAGGAAATATGGAAATTTCACAATGTTGGAACATGTGGAAATTAAACAGTGACTCTTAACCAAGGAGTCAAAGAAGAAATCACATGAGAAATTAGAAAATACTTTGGGATGAGTGAAAATGAAAACACAACATACTACAAGGTATGAGATACAGTGAAAACAGTTCTCAGTGGAAAATTTGTAGCTGTAAACACATTAATAAAAAAGAGAAGGTCTCAAATCGATAATTTAACTCTATAAGAAACTAGAAAATGAAGAGCCAGCTAAACAAGCAGAAGGAAGTAATAAAGATTACAGTAAGATAAATAAAATAGAAAATAGAAAAACAATAGAGAATCAATGAAACCAATGGTTGCTTTTTTTTATAAAGCAACAGAATTGACAAATTTTTACCTAGACAGGCCAATTAAAAAAGAAGTCCCAAATTACTAAAATCACAAATAAAATTGGGGGCATCTACTGATCTGACAGAAATTTAAAAATTATAGAAGAATACTATGAATAATTACATGCAAATCACATAACTTAGATGAAATGGACCAATTCCTTGCAATGCAAAACTACCAAAACTGACTCAAGAAGTATTTTGAAAATCTGAATAGACCTATAACAAATCAATAATTTAAAAAGCATCAGTAATTTTAAAACTTCCATAAAAAAGAAATCCAAGGGCTAGATTGCTTCAGTGGTGAAATCTACCAAGCCCTTAAAAATTAACACCAGCCCTTAAACTCTTCAAAGAAATAGAAGAGGAAATAAGTTTTTCTAATTCATCCCATGAGGCCAGTATTACCCCTGTACCAAAACCGGATAAAGATACCACAAGAAATGAAAACTGTATAGACTAATATCCATTATGGATATAGATGCAAAAATCCTCAACAAAATACTAGCATACCAAATCCAGCAGCATATTAAAAGACACCATGACCAAGAGGGGTTTGTCACAGGAAGGCAAGAGTAGTTTAATATGAAAATCAATGTCAGGTACCACAATAATAAAACAAAGGAAAAGAACCACATGATCATGTCTATTGATGCAGAAAAAGTATTTGACAAAATATACCATTTTGTGAGAAAAACCAACAAGCAAGAATGGAAGGAAACTGACCGATAAAAGACATCTATGAAAAGTTCACAGCTAACTACATAATGATAGACTGAAAACTTTCCTTCTAAGATCAAGAATAAGGCAAGGATGTCTGCTCTTAACACTTATATTTAACATTGTACTGGAGGTGCTAGCCAGAACAATTAGGCAAGAAGGAGAAAAAAATGACTTCCAAATAAGAAAGGAAATAAAATCTGTTTATTCACAGATGACATCTTATATGGAAAAATCTTAAAAGAATCCACACACAAAAACTTTTAGAGCTAGCAAAAGAGTTCAACAGAGTTGCAGGAGACAAGATCAACATATAAAAATCAGGTGTAATTCTATACACCAGCAGTGAACATTCTGAAAAGGAAATTATTAAAACAATTTCATTTACAATAGCATAAAAATATTAGAATACTTAAGGATTGATTTACCCAGGGGAGTGGGTGCAAAACTTGTATACCGAAAACTACAAAGTATTCTTGAAAGAAGTTAAAGAAGACCTAAATAAAATCAAAGACATCCCATGTTCATGGATTGGAAGAATTAATATTAAGATGGCAGTACTCCCTAAGTTGATCTACAAATGTAATTCTTACCAAATTTCAATTGTCATTATTGCAGAAATGGACAAGTTGATCCTAAAATTCGTTTGGAATTGCAAAATACCTTAAGTAGCCAAAATAATCTTGAAAAAGAACAAAGCTGGAGGACTCACTTCCTGATTTCAAAACTTACTGTTAGCCTAAATAGTTAAATCTTAAGGTAGACAGCTAGATTAGTGGAATCAAATTGAGTCCAGAAATAATCCCATACACCTATGGTCAGTTAATTTTTGACAAGGGTCCAAAACCATTCAATGAGGGGAAGAATAGTATTTTCTACAAGTGATGCTGGCAACTGGGTGACCACATACAAATCATGAAGTTAGACCCTTGCCTCATACCATCAGAACAATTAATTCAAAATTAAAAGACTTAAGTGTAAGAACTAAAACCATAAAACTCTCAGAAAACATGGGGACACATTTTCATGATTGAAGATTTGACAGTGGTTTCTTAGATATGACACCAAAAGCACAAGCAACGGAAGAAAAATTAGATAAGTTAGATTTCAAAATTAAAAGCTTTTGTGCAGGATACTATAAGAAGGTGAAAGGGCAACCTATAGAATGAGAGAAAATATTTGCAAGTTTTATATTTGGTAAGGGTCCAATGTCAAGAATATATCTAAAACTCTTAGAACTCAGTTACTACAAGACAACCCAATTTAAAATGGACAAGGACTTGAATAGACATTTCTTCAAAGATAGTTCCGTGACCAATAAGCACATGAAAAGATACTCAATGTCATCATTAGGGAAATGAAAATGAAAATGAAAACCATAATGAGGTGCCCTTTCACAAGATGGATATAACCAAGTGGAACAAAACAAAACAAACCACCATAAAATAGTGTTTGCAAAAATGTGGAGAAACTGGAACCCTCATACACTGCAGGTAGGAATGTAAAATGGTGCAGCCACTGTGGAAAACCTTGGCACTTCCTCAAAACATTACAATTAAAATTATCATATGAGCCAGCAGTTTCACTCTTAGACATATACTGAAGACTATTGAAAGCAGGTGTTCAAACTAAAACCTTTACACAAATGTTTATGGTAGTATTTTAATAGCCAGAAATTGGAACCAATTCAAATGTCTGTTAGCTGATGAATAAATAGAATGTGGCATATCCATACAGTGAAATATTATCAGTCAAAAAAAGGAAGGAAATACTACTACATGCTACATGAAAGAGTGTTGTAAATGAATTAAGTCCCTGAATTATACAATTTAGAGTGGTTAATTTTATGTGAATTTTACCTCAATTTAAAAAACAACATTGCTAATAATAAGATTCATTGGGTATTCATAAAATTAAGTTCTTGTATTAATATTTCCTTTTAAAATACTTTTGAACAAATAAAAGCTTTATGGAGGAAGAACCACTTATATTGTAATACATAGTTATGTTTATATTTTGATTCTCCTGTATCAATTTATACCATTTAGATCTCTTAAAAGTGTTTTTATTTTGTTACTTAAAAGCATTTGAGTTGTATTTTAGAACAGCATTTAGGGAGCTTGGTGTTTAAAGCAGCAGCATATCTCATGCTTCAGAGAAATTCAGTGTAAAGTAATGGAGAAATCTCTGTTGACTAGTGAAATTATTATATACTTGAATTTAGAGCATTGTGGGGAAAATGGAACTTCTGTGGCCCAGATCCTCATCGAACCCTGAACTACTTGATGTAATTGGCCTACTGCTAGACTAATGCTTCCACAACCATAGACAATGAGATATCATTGACTGAGTCACTATATAAAGAGCTTCACCCAGTGCTCTGGGCAGAGGCAGAGACAGAGGTGGATTATGGACCTGCAGACTGCTGGATGCAGACATGATTCAGTGCAGTAGAAATATAATGTGAATCATTTGTGTAACTTTAAATTTTCTGGTAGCCACATTTAAAAAGTAAAATTAGGTGAAATTAATTTTAAAATTCTTTATATTCAAAATATTAAAATAACAAGTAATTGATATTTTAACTATTAATAAAGTATTTTACATTCGTCTAAGTCTTCAAAATCTGGTGTATCATCACATCTCAATTCAGACTAGACACATTTCAGGTGCTCAATAACTACATGTGGCCAGTGACTACAATACTGGACAATACAGACTTAGATAATCAGAACTAGGACATTGTATCCACAATAGGTATTCTTGTTATTTCTGGGAGTGGAAAAGAAACTTTCTCTTTCTCTTTTTCTGTCCAAAAACAAATTAGTATATCTTACTAGCCAGCTTTTGATTTAAAAGATACACAAAGAAATCTTTTGTGTTTTAGTGGAGTGAAGAAGAGGAAACTTGGGGTAACCATTGGTGTAACAGGTGAGAGAGTATAGGAAGAAAGGCTAGAATTCACACCAAGGGAAGTTTTGCTGCTGTGTGATCCTGTAAGTCCAAGAAAAGATGGGGTAGCATGCGGAGGAAGTATTAGGGTTGGAAAAAAGTGTAGTCCCTGAAGGATATATTTCTGAGTCAAACATTAAAGGTGCTGAGTTGGCTAGGGGACTTTCTTAGTCTTCACGCTCTCCCGTACCTGCCCCTAGATGGATATTACAACATACATAGTAACTAAGAGCAGGTATGACCACTAAAGTGTATAGTCCCTTGAACTACTTTTCAGATAATTCTTTATACATCTTACTGTTTTCACCCCTTCCGCAAAAGTAAAGTACAGAACAAAGAGTCAGGGAATGGATATAGAAGTAAAAATGATAGAAAGCAAAGACAAGCAAAGAAAGATAGAAAAGGAGAAGAGTTGTGGAAACTGACATAAAGAATATATCAGTATACTCCTAATAAATTAAAACATTGAGTGTTTATTTTTCTTAAAGCAATGGAAAGTGTAGGTAAAGTAAGGAAATGTGACAAAGAGCAAAGGGACATACCCAAGAGAAAATAATTGCTTTACCATTTACTTAAAATTGCCTTGCTTACTTTCTTCATAGCTGTGCCACTGCATATGTTCTACTGGCTGAGGAAGAAGCAACAACTATTGTAGATGCTGAAAGGTTATTTAAGCAGGCACTCAAGGCAGGAGAAACAATTTATAGGCGGTCACAGCAGTGCCAGCACCAAAGTCCTCAGCATGAAGCTCAACTGAGTAAGCAAATTTGAACTGATCGTTACTTGTCTTTTAGTTCCTGCAATTGGCTCTTCTATGTTTACTATACAGAACAATATTTTTTTTTAAAATTAATACTTAGAGGTTAGTTACTTTGCATAAGAGATAACTAATCTATTCATAATGCTTACAAGTCAGCAAGACAAATATGTATTAACTAAAAATATGTATTAGCTAGAAAATGCTTGTGCAAGGGAACAGATCTCCTCTGGCTATAGAGAGATGTGCTGCTCTGAGATTTAACAGTAATTTATTTCATGAGAGAATTGGGCTGGTCATTGGAGAAACACAACTCAAAAATATTCAAGATTCAGGAGAGCCTTCTTATTATGATAAGCAGCTCTTAACCCCAAGCAGTAAGAGAAGTATATGTATCATTTGGTTTGCTCTTCATGTAGTGTCAGGGAGTGGCCCGTTTAGCACAAAACCTTGTATTTATTTGGTTTTGGTCTTTCTTTAGTTGGTTTTTCTTTATAATTTGCTTCAGATCTTATGGGCCATAGCAACCGAGATCCTTTCCACTTGTATGGATACTCTCCCAATTATGATTGAGACACTTTTACCAAAAATGTTCTACTCTGTAATGCTGCTGCTTCCTGCCTTTTTGGGGGGTGGGGGACAGAGGACTTTAGTTTCATGATTTTGGCAGATAGTGTGGGCAATAAATTGAAATATGTTTACATATTGCATTGTCTGCTAGCACTTACGTTCTAAATCTTTTGTTTGTGGAAATTAAAATTTGGATAATGTTTTCTCTCTAAATATTGATGTACAGTATGTTTCATTAAGTTATTATAACAGAACTGTGGGAATATATCATTTTTCAGCCTGGAACTAATGAAACTACATTTGTAAAAATAGTCATGCCATTTGTCCTTGTGTAATCTCAAGTATGGTTGAGATAGTAACAGAAATATTTGTTAACCCTTTCTAGAAATAGTTTTATTGTTTGTTACTAGCTGTTGATCAGAAGTTTGCACTAGCCATGGAAGGTCTGTTTTGAACACCTTTTGTCAACTAAACAATAGAAAATATTAAAATAATAGACTTTATGCAGAAACGTAAAGGAATAAGTCAGTGCTATTTCTTCCTATTTATGTGTTTTTTATATTAATATTAAAATTTACTTGTGAGATATACACATTATATATACTGTACTCAGGTTGTTTACTGTTAGAGACAAAATAATTCAGTATACATACGTATTATAAGCTTTTAATATAAAAACTTCAAATATATACAAAAATAGAGCAGTATAATGAACTCCAATTCAATGTTCTTATCTAATTCAACAATTATTAATATTCTTACATTCTGGCAAATTTAATTTTCATTGAACCTTCCAGGATAATATGTTAATGAAATAGCAGGCCATAATACAAAAGTGATAGTTGTATCATTTTTTATTTATTTTAAATAGGGAGAGATACCAATGTACTGGTGTATATTAAACGAAGGTTGGCAATGTGTGCAAGAAAATTAGGAAGAATAAGAGAAGCAGTAAAAATAATGAGAGATGTAAGTAAATTTGATGGCTGGACATTAATGTTTATTTCTCTAAAAACTGAAAATGTGGTTTAAGTTGACAGTTTTTTAAAAGCAGAATCATTGTTTTTTAAGTGGCAGTTTTTATAACAAGATATTTATTTAGTATACATAATATTTCTTAGGGTTGAGTCTACAGTTTTGTTAATGAAAGAATTTCTACTTAAATGAATTTGATTCAGGTCTATTAGTTCCTTTCTTATAATTTTAATCTTTTTTTTTCTTTTAATATACAGCTGATGAAAGAATTTCCTCCTCTTACCATGCTGAACATCCATGAAAATCTCCTAGAATCACTTTTAGAATTACAGGCCTATGCAGATGTTCAGGCAGTTCTAGCAAAATACGATGGTGAGTGATATTTGTCTTAGTTGATAGTATGGTTAAAGTATTTTTTTTTCTATTATGTAATCATAAATATCCTATTCAAATACTTTTGTGGTTTTCTCTTTCCTTTCTTACCATTCAGTATTTAGAATCTGTGGATTTCAAGTATCTTCTTTATCAGGACTTTTGGTAGCAAACAAAAAGTTTGCAAAGAGGAACTTTTCTTATGCCAAAATTTATTCATTTGTTTATTGAGGTGCTTGGAATGCAGTAATGAAGAAGATATGTCTTAGCCCTCTTAGGATTTACAGTTTAGTGGAAAAGAGAGACAAATGAATAGTAGTTATATTGAAGCATAGTGTGTTGAGTGAGGTCATTGGAGAAGTATGAAGTGTTATGTCCATAGGATGGTACCTCATTTATTTTGGAGTGTCAAGGAAGGCTAACAGAAGTTGCTTAGCAATGTGTATAAGAGTAATTCAGAATAACATTTTACAGTACTTTTTAGTTACAAAATATAATTATCTGATCCTTCAATAATCTTGTGAGGTGGTAGGTTAAGGATTTTTACTATCTCTAGTTAGTAAATAAGGAAGCAGGAGCTGAGGAAGGTTCAGTAGTTTAAGCAAGGTAAGCCAGTAAGTGGCAAGCCTGAACTTAAATCCAGGTATTCTGTTTCTTTATTCACTAGTGTTCTAATAGTAAAAAGTCAATATATATTGGCTGTTTTTATTATACTGTAACAGTGCCTGTTTACCACAAATGGAGTTGGAAGAATTTTTTTGTCTTATTTTATGTTCAATAAAAAAACCTTTATAATAGAAAATTTCAAAAAAACACAATTATAGAGAACACAATACATCATATATTGAACCTCATATAGCTACCTATCCCCAGTTATCAACCCATGGCTAATATCACCTATCCCTCTACCCATTGCTTATTTCTGAATGATTCACAGATATCACTAGCCTCATCTGTACATATTTCAGTAGGTATTTTAAAAGATACAGACTTTAAGAAAAAAAAATTAACACAATACCATGACTGTACTACAAACATTGCCAATAATCCTTAATATCATCAAATATTTAATTTTTGTTCAAATTTCTCTGAATGTGTCATTACTTTTTTCTTTTTAACTGTCAATTTGTTTGAATTGGAAAGAAAAGTACATCTCCAGCCACTGCATTTTAATCTATAGTTTCCTCCTCTCCCTTGCTTCCTTTTTTGAGGAAACTGGGTCATTCTTCCTGTTGTTTCTCCCATTCAGCACTTGCTCATTGCATCTCTGTGATGTTGTCTGATACATTTTCTCCTGTAAACTGGTAGTTAGCTTAAGAAGCTTTATCTGACTCAAGTTCCTGTTTTTTGGCAAGAATACTTCATTGGTCATACTCTGCATTTTCATTTCAACCAAGTATCTGATTGTCTTTTTTTTTTTAATGGAAGAATTTTTAAGAATCATAGCCTTTCTCCTTATTCTGAGGGATACATTTTAACCTAACTGAACTTTTAACTCCAAGGTGAAAACATCCTAATATCTTTGATGTCTTTCACTATACAGTACATATATAAGTCACTTATTCACCCTTGTCCTGTTTTCTTACCCATTAGCTTGGGAATCCCCGTGACTTGGAAAGATTGAAATATGTTACACCTGGAAAGAGAAATGTAAACATCTGGAATTCTTAGGAAATGCTTCTGAATAAAGTAGGCTCATGGAGAAATTTGTGAGAAATTCTTTCCATATGTAACTTACCAGATGCGTGGCCTGCTTCTGACACTTAAGAAGAATAAGCTTAGGGACTGAATATAAAAAATCAGATACGACCTGATTCATTAAAAATAAAATAATGCTAATAACTTAGGTATTATTCTGTGTTTTCAGTTCTTTTGATGATTCCTCAGTTTTTACCATTCTAGAGTCATGAAGAAGTTGAAAGCAGATTTCTTTCTTTAGTTGTCCATTTGCTGGTAGAACTCTGGAATTTAAAATTTCAAGAGAGTTCTGTGGTCTTACTCTCCTGATAACATTATTTTGGGCATTCTTTAAGAAAAGATTTATATAAATGGTTTCATTATAGTTCCTGATTTTTTAATTTTATTAAAAAATTGTCATTTAATAGAATTTGTGCCTCACATCGAATTTACCGAGTATCATAATTCCTCCAAGTGGTAAAGATACCTCAAGACAAATGCTGGGCATAGAAGCCACAGGGCATAAATCTGCAAAGAAGTAAAAAGCTAACCTTTTCAAACAATATGGCTTCTCTCTCACTTGCCAACTTTACATATCCCTGTATGGCCCCGGAAGATGACTGATTAGCCAGAGACAGGTAAGATTCCTCAAGGGAGGAACAACCTAAGACAGGCACAGTCGCAGGGGGGGCCATCAGGTGAGAAATTGGGGATTAACAGAGGTGAGGCTTAGAACCTCACCCCCCCTGTTCTGAGAGAAATCTTCTGCATCCGTGGATGTTTTATTGCCCTTGCCTAGCTTGGATTACACATAGTCTACAGGCACACACCTAATCATCTACGTTTGCTCTCTTACAACACTAAACTATGTTTTCTACCTTTATCTTGCATCTACCTACCTCTTCAGCATTTTATTAATAATAATAATAATAATAATAAAGGGAGAAATGTGGGATCCACATATAAATCGAGTATAAAAATCAAACGAATATTCATATTTGATCTGATTGTTTATAGTTTATAATGCGTGATCAAAACCGAAAGTTTCTGTGACGACTACCCTTGTACTCTTCACCATATAAGAACTTATTCACTATCTAAGAATTTGTTCTCCATGTAAGAACTTGTTCGTTATGCTTCAGAAGATTGGAGACTGACGAAAATTAGGCTTGGGGTGGATTAATGATTGTGCATTGAGCATTGACCCCCCCTATACAGAATTTTATTGTTGTTAACAACCATTTGATCAGTAAATAGGAGAGATGCCCTCTCAAAAAAAAAAATGTCATTTAAGAAAATGTGGAATATACAAAAACATCGGAAGAAAAAAAATTAAAAATCACCTGTGGTTTTACATATATATATATTTTAGTCTTTGTTTTTCTCCATGAAGAGGTAGAATAACTTTTTGCATGGTTTTAACTATACTATGCCTTTTTTCCCAGAGTAATATTATTGTAAGCAGATTATTATAAACATTTGTTGAGCACTTTTCATTATTGTGCTGAGGGATTTCACAGACATAATTTAATCTTTGCCAGAAAAATGCCATTTCCCTGTTTTGAGAAGAGAAAACTGAGGTTAAAGAAGTAGCTTCTAGTTCAAGATTACATAGCTAGTAAATAGTAGAATCAAGATTCATACTCAGGTCTCCCAACTACATGTCCACATGCTTCTACTACTTATTATATCTGTTGAATTTGGACTATGAATTTTTCTTATTAAAAATTATCGTAAGGTATTTTTTGTGATTTTTAGCTAAGTTGAAAATTATAATTACAGATATAAGCCTTCCAAAGTCAGCAGCAATCTGTTACACAGCAGCACTGTTGAAGACAAGGACTGTTTCAGATAAGTAAGTAGTTATGAAACTACCGTAACTTAGAATGACTGCTAAATTTGATACCAAAGTTCATTTTATATCACTTTGCTTTTAACAAAGACTTACAGTAGTATCCATTTCATATAATCAAAAGAAATCCAAAGAGTATTTCTGCTTTTACGAAATGGTAATCGCTTTTTCGCTCTACATCATTTCAGCTTATAAAAGATTTCATCAGAATGCTCTACTTTTGGATACCAGGGAAAACCTGTATTATGTTTTTAACCACTGACTTTAAACAATGCTCTTTTTCCTCCCTATTTCCTTCCAAATAACCTTTGATCTTATGGGGCTTTGAGGCTTCTTACTATGTGAAGTACAAAGAGCAAGGTTTTTAGAACTAAATAAACCTGGGCTCAAATTCAGTGTATCACATACCAGCTCTGGAACTTTGGGCAAGTTACTGAGTTTGAGTATCTTCATTATCTGTAAAGTAAGAGTAATAATTATGTAGGGTGGCTGTGTGAAGATTATGTGCGTTAAATACTGAAAGCAATGCTAGAAAGAAAGTACGTACATAGTAGCTATGATGACAATGAGAAGGTATATGGTAGGGAAATGGTTTCATGCTTTCTGTTCTGAGATTCTAATTCTGAGTTATTCTGTTTTCCTTATATTTCAGGCTGCCCTTAATTTCTCTTTATTTCTTTATTTCTCTTTATTCCACAAATAACATATTTAGAAATCAACCAATGGTGACCATTTTATTTTACCTTAGGTTACTAAGCCTTGATATAAATTAGAATGGAATATTTACAGTCTGTTTTAATGAAAATTTGATAAGAATGTACTTCTGTTTCATTAGATTCTTGTTGTAGCATTTAGTTTATTACCTTTTTGAATATGTGCTTTCAGTGGACTTCTCCTGAAAGCTTTCTTTACCTAAATTTGAAGATTTCCATTTCTTATACTGCCTGTCTTTACATTGAACCAAAAGCTTTACTTTCACGTTTAGTAGTTATTTGGCTTTGTCTTAGACTCTCACCAAAAACCTCTGATTTAAGGAACTAGAGTATGACCTAAATTCATATATATATGCTTTACATTCATTTCTTCATTTTGTGGTTTTCTTATAGGTTCTCTCCAGAAATGGCCTCCAGAAGAGGGTTAAGCACAGCAGAAATTAATGCTGTGGAAGCAATTCATAGAGCTGTGGAATTTAATCCTCATGTTCCAAAAGTAAGAAATTTTATGATGAAAATACTTCTATTTAAGTTTATCAAATTGATGATAGTATGTAGAACCAAGTAGGATCTCCATAATTCAAGTCAGACCTGTTTTAGTCTGCTATATTTTGATACTTATTATTTGCTTTAAAGTGGGTGGTGTGGCATGTAGAAAGATGGATAAGAGTGGTAGTTCACTGTAGGCTCTGTAATTGGTGTCAAAAAATTTGAAATGTGTCCACTTAGCTGTTCCTTTTACTGTAGTTATAGAGAAGAAATAAAATGGTTTGATATTATTAAAGATCATTCATACTTAAGATCATTAAATCAAATTTCCTGTTACTGTAAAAGCTTTTTACATCTAGACAGATGCCTGGGTTTTGAACTAGAGGTGGGTATAAAGACTAAGACAAATAGATTAAAATCATCAATGATAGGAAACAGATGTGGAAGTTCCCAGAAAAACTGCTGAATTGGTATTTATTTAGTCCCAGATGAAACTGTACCCATCTCGTTTGTCTTTATATTGTACACCTTGCAGACATACAGGTTATTGGTTAATCTTTGCATGTTACCACCCAAGGTGAAATTTTGGGTTTTAAAAACAATGCCTATGTTAGGAAGTATAGAATATTAAAGAATAGATGCCTTTACTACAAAATGTAATTATAACTTGATTCCAGTATTAGTGGAATATAGAAGCCAGTAAACATAAAAAAGATTAATTTCTGTAAGATAATCTCCAAGAAAGGTAAATTGTCTGTTAGAATACTAAGTAGTCAAGAAAATTACTGAAAGCTAAGAGTGAGAGTCAACAAATATTCATGCCATTCTCTTATTAAGTGACAATGGTCCCATACATTTAAATAAAAATTTTATTATGTTCTAGAAATTTGCTGTATGAATGACAGTGTGCCTGTAGTTAACACTGCATTGTGCACTGAAATATTTGTTAAGAAGAGTGTAGATATCATGGTAAGTGTTCTTACTGCAATAAAAAAAGATATCATTTAAAAAAAATTTTATTATTAATTATAATACATACACAGAAAAATGTAGAAAACAGAAATGTGCATCTTCATGACTTATTATATAGCATATGAGTGCAAACTAGCACTAAGGTCAAGAAACATTACCAGCCCCAGAAGCCCTCCTGTCTGCCCTTTCCCAGTTACAACTTCTTCCTTCCTGACTAAAGGTAACCACTATTCTGATGTTAATTATATTCATTTCCTTCTTTTCTTACATTTTTGGGTCTATGTTTCCCTTACTGTTGGCTTTATAAAACAAGTCAAGGAGTGGTCCTCTTTTTTTACTCTCTGGAAGAATTTGTATGAAATTAGAATTATGTCTGCCTTAAATAATTGGTAGAATTTGGCAATAAAGCCATCTGATTCTGGATTTTTCTGTGAGAAGGATTTTTGTTGAGAATATTAATTTTTTTTGTTTAATAGTTTATTACAAATTCGATTTATTTAATATTTCCATAGCTATTCAAATTTCTTGTTTCTTCTTATGTTAGATTTTGGTAAGTAGTATTCTCCTAGGAATTTATTTCATCCAAATTTTTTAACTTATGGGTGTAAAGATTTCAAATTATTACTTATTAGTATTTTCAGGATCAGTTGTAATATCCACTGTTTAACTTCTAACACTGGCTACCCTCTTTTTCACTTGATAGATTCCCCAGGATCTATCAATTTTATTAGTCTTTGTAAAGGCCAAGCTCTGGCATTGTTGATCCTCTCTACTGTTTATTTTCTGGTTCATTCATTTTTGCTCATTAGGCCTTCCTTCACCTTTATTTGGGCCTTTTTTACTATTTTTTTATTTTCTATATCTTCTCACATAGGTACTTTACTTGAATATGTTTTCCAACTTCCACTATGATTTCCTCTTTGACTTAAAGGTATACTTAACCCTTTAGAAGTGTATTCCTTCTTTTCCAAACACATGAAAATTATCTTTTTATCAGTGATTTCTAGCATAATTGCATTGTGGCCAGAGAACATACTCTGTGTGATTTCACCCCTTTGAAACATTTTTTGGTTCTTGAATTTCTGTTTATTTTTCACATCTCCTGTGTTATTTATAGTTTCTAATTCTCTGCCAAAATTTTAAATATGGTCTTTCATCTCTTTTAAAATACTTATTTTGAAATAGTTATCTTAAAGTTTTTCTCTGATAATCCCAGTATCTGGAGCTTCTGTGTGTGTTTGTATTATCTGTTTTTTGATGCTACATCATGTTCATATTAAGTCTTGTTTTTTCTTATGCCTGGTTTTCTTTGACTATGTGCCAGATATTTTATTTGAAAAATTGTAGAAATTGTAGAAATAGCTTGAAACCCAGATTACCTTCCTTAGAGAGGGTTTTCTTTGATCTTAGGTGCCTGGAAGAAACCTTAGCAGAACTGGATCACCTTAGTTCAGCTTCAAGAATTGGTATTTTCTGATCTACCTAGATATCTTGACAGTAGACTGCAGTCTATGAAAGTTTGCATTTATTTCTGGTTTACTCTTATTTTTATGATGCAGCTTTTCACTTTTCAGGGTCCCAGTCCTGTCCAATCCATAAGGGAGTCTTACTCTTTATGAAATTGGCATAAAGGCTGAACAGCCTTTTAGCCATCTTGCCTAAAATTGGTAAATGTCCCTATAGTAAAAGAAACAAATGTGAACTGATAATTCCTTATCCTTTGTTGATGCTCTGATGTATTTGCTTAGATTTTTTTAAAGTTTTTTTTAAGTATCATTAATCTACAGTTACATGAGGAACATTATGTTTACTAGACTCCCCCATCACCAAGTCCCCCCCACAAGCCCCGTTACAATCACTGCCCATCAGTGTAGTAATATGCTGTAGAATCACTACTTGTCTTCTCTGTGTTGCACAGCCCTCCCCAAGCACCCCCCCCACATTGTACATGCTAATTGTTATGCCCCCTTTCCCCCCCGACTTAACCTTCCCTTCCCACCCATCCTCCCCAGTCCCTTTCCCTTTGGTAACTATTAGTCTATTCTTGGGTTCTGTGTGTCTGCTGCTGTTTTGTTCCTTCAGTTTTTTCTTTGTTCTTATACTTCACATATGAGTGAAATCATTTGGTACTTGTCTTTCTCTGCCTGGCTTATTTCACTGAGCAAAGTATTCTCTAGAGCCATCCATGTTGTTGCAAATGGTAGGATTTGTTTTCTTCTTATGGCTGAATAATATTCCATTGTGTATATGTACCACATCTTTATCCATTCATCTACTGATGGACACTTAGGTTGCTTCCATTTCTTGGCTATTGTAAATAGTGCTGCGATAAACATAGGGGTGCATCTCTCTTTTTCAAACTGGGCTGCTGCATTCTTAGGGTAAATTCCTAGAAGTAGAATCCTGGGTCAAATGGTATTTCTATTTTGAGCTTTTTGAGGAACCTCCATGCTGCTTTCCACAATGGTTGAACTAATTTGCATTCCCACCAGCAGTGTAGGAGGGTTCCCTTTTCTCCACAACCTTGCCAACACTTGTTTGTCTTTTGGATGGTGATGATCCTTACTGGTGTGAGGTGATATCTCATTGTGGTTTTAATTTGCATTTCTCTGATGATTAGCAATGTGGAGTATCTTTTTATGTGCCTGTTGGCAGTCTGAATTTTTCTTTGGAGAAGTGTCTATTCAGCTCCTCTGCCCATTTTTTAATTGGATTATTTACTTTTTGTTTGGTGAGGAGCATGAGCTCTTTATATATTTTGGATGTCTACCCTTTATCAGATCTGTCATTTATGAATATATTCTCCCATACTGTAGGATGCCTTTTTGTTCTATTGGTAGTGTCCTTTGCTGTACAGAAGCCTTTCAACTGGGTATGGTCCCACTTGTTCATTTTAGCTTTTGTTTCCATTGCCCGGGGAGATGTATTCATGAAGAAGTCACTCATGTTTAGTCCAAGAGATTTTGCCTATGTTTTTTTCTAAGAGTTTTATGGTTTCATGACTTACATTTAGGTCTTTGATCCATTTTGAATATAATTTCATGTATGGGGTTAGACAATAATCCAGTTTCATTCTCTTACATGTAGTTGTCCAGTTTTGCCAACACCAGGTGTTGAAGAGACTGTCATTTCCCCATTGTATGTCCATGGCTCCTTTATCGTATATTAATTGACCATATATGTTTGGGTTAATGTCTGGAGACTCTATTCAGTTCCACTAGTTGTGGCTCTGTTCTTGTGCCAGTACCAAATTGTCTTGATTACTGTGGCTTTGTAGTACAGCTTGAAGTTGGGGCGCGAGATACCCCCCACTTTATTCTTCCTGCTCAGGATTACTTTGGCTATTTGGGGTCTTTGGTGTTTCCATTTGAATTTTAGAACTATTTGTTCCAGTTTGTTGAAGAATGCTGTTGATATTTTGATAGGCATTGCATTGAATCTGTAGATTGCTTTAGGCAGGATGACCATTTTGACAATATTAATTCTTCCTAGCCAAGAGCATGGGATGAATTTCTACTTGTTAGTGTCCTCTTTAATTTCTCTTAAGAATGTCTTGTACTTTTCAGGGTATAGGTTTTTCACTTCCTTGGTTAGATTTATTCCTAGGTATTTTATTCTTTTTGATGCCATTGTGAATGGAATTGTTTTCCTGATTTCTCTTTCTGCTAGTTTATTGTTAGTGTATAGGAAATCAACAAATTTCTGTGTATTAATTTTGTATCCTGCAACTTTGCTGAATTCCGATATTAGTTCTCGTAGTTTTGGAATGGAGTCTTTAGGGTTTTTTATGTACAATATCATGTCATCTGCATATAGTGACAGTTTGACTTCCTCTTTATCAATCTGTATTCCTTGTATTTCTTTGTTTTGTCTGATTGCCATGGCTAGGACATCCAGTACTATGTTGAATAACAGTGGGGAGAGTGGGTATCCCTGTCTTGTTCCCAGTCTTAGAGGAAAAGCTTTCAGCTTCTCACTGTTAAGTATGTTGTTGGCTGTGGGTTTGTCATATATGGCCTTTATTATGTTGAGGTA